AAACATATATTCAACATTTTATACCGTAAAAATATAAAGAATAGAGAAAAAATCCAACTGACGAGAGAATCTTTCGGGATGTAACCTTCTTATTCCAATGATTTGTACATGGATCGATAGACCTCAGTGAGGTAGTAAAACCCTAAAAGGATTCGTGTCCATGACTCTTGAAGACCTGGTTTTCTGGAAAAACAGTTTTTCAAGAACTCTAAAAAATAAACAAAACTTTTTCTAAATGAGGCATGATTGTAGCCCGCAAATTTCTGATTAAACTGAGACATCTTCCAGTTCTACACGACTATCTATATACAAATCATGGGAATCGAAAGGTTACATCTTGAAAGGTTTCCTCGTGAGATATGAGCAAAATGCTAAATGACCAATTTATTCTAGAACATTCGTTCATCAATTATGTTTCATTTTAGTTACTTTAATTAGTTCTTCTCTACTGTGTAATAATTGTTTTAAATTTAAAAAATCACTTTGTAAATCAGCCAATGTACGTTTTTGTAAATCAAATTCCTAAATAAAATCGAATAAATATGTATTATAAATTAAAATCAAACAGCAAACAATTGACATTACTTTTGTTTTCTCTCTCAATTGTCGTTTATTTTGATTCATTGTTTCTGTTAAATCTTCAATTTGATCTTTAAAACTATCAACTTGAAATTTGAGTGCTTGTTTTTCATTATATAAACTTGAATTTGATATCATCGATTGTTTATATTTTGTTTCTAATTCACTTAATAATCGCTAAATAAACAAAAAAGATGTCCAATTGTAAACAGATGAAAAAAAAATAATTAAAAAAGAGTATATACTCGTAGATCTCTTTGCTCTATCGATCTTAAATCTGTATCACCATTGAGAAATTTTTGTAATAATAATGTATTGGCATTATTTCCGCTAACACCGTCGATACTTAAACCACGCGTCTAAACATAACAAAAACGAGAAAAAAAACGAAGAAAAATGTTAAAAATCTTAATATCATCGTTACATACTCGATTCGTCGCAGACGGTGTTGACGATGTATGTGGAATATGTGACGAATCACTTCCGTCATCCTAAATGGTAAACAAAAAAAACAAATAAGAGAACCGGATCAATCAAGACAGAAATAATAAACAATCGAGTTGATTTTATTTAGCTGTATTACGAAATCAAATATTAGTTTTTAAAAAATCATATTTTCTCTGTTATACAACAAATGTAAAACAATCTCATGGATTTCCTGTCGTTCTTATCTCTCTCATTAAAAAAAAAAAAAAATGTTTCTTAAAAATTTTTCAGCAAAAATGTAAAAAAACGAAAATAACCGAGAGCAACGATTAAAAAAACGAAAATAACCGAGAGCAACGATTAAAAAAACGAAAATAACCGAGAGCAACGATTAAAAAAACTAACAACAACCATATTGATATGAGCAAAATTAAGGTGTAGCAATGAAAGAAGGTTCATATCTGCGAAGCTCTTAAATATTTCGATTAGAGAGCAGAAGTTTTAACGTGGAGTGCATCTAAAGGTCACTATGTCACGCTATTAAGAACTCTTAATTGAGACAAAGGTTTTTGGTATGAGACAAATTTAGTGTTCCGTTAATAGGATTGAAATTATTGAATCAGATGACAATATGTTTTTATATGAAGTCGACCGATTCTAAGTCATTTTTCAACTGTTTATTTTAATTCCATTAACAGATAGAGGAAACAAAACTGCGTTTGTCTTGCATTAAAAACTTGATCAGAATTAGACATTTTTTAAGAAAAATCAGATGTTTTGTTAATAATGTGAAAATGAGTGAACGAAAAACAGATAAATATGCATCGATTCAAATGTGATTTTATTTGTGTTTTGTGAAATCATTGTTTTATATCACATTGTTTAGCGTGTGATGAACAAGATATTGAAAATGATGTTTTTCTTCTTACACCACAGTTGACTTTCTTGTCTTTTTGAGTTTGTGATGCGACACACTGCTACGCGGTTTTTTTTTCTTCTTCCGACTGTATACAATTTGTTTAGTCTACAAAAAAATGTCATCAGGAACGGTGTTGGAGAAAAGGTCAATCAATGTCTAATTATTTTCGTAAAAAAACGTGTACAAGTATAGCATAAAAGTAGGTATAATTTTATACTTTTGCAATGCGAAAGAAGAAAATGCGGCTTTTGTTCTTTTTTTTTTGGTGTTAGTTACTGGAAAGGAAATAAATGAAAAATTCTATCATTGAGTTAAAAGGAAATACTAATAATAATAAAATGTTTAATTGTGCTAGTAAGCAAAATTTAAGTTAAGAAAAAAAAAATCATTTTAAGTTATACAAATTTTCGAAGCAAAAAGACGAGTAATGTAAAAATGATTTCACCTCATCATCATTATCGTCATCGGTATAATTATTATTATTTATATTACTGTTACCGATTTCATTATTAGTTTCCTAAAAAATATACATCGATAAAAAGGTAGAAAACAAATAAGAAGTACAGCACATCATTTTATACAGAGAAGCAAAGTGTAAGGAGGAATGACATACTCTGGTAACAAAAGTTACATTGATGAACTGATTTTCTTCTAGTGTTGGATAAATATTTTGTCTTGCTGCAACTGTTATAGAGTGAAACAGTTAGTTTTCGTCTTAATTTTTCATTATGAACGCCGGTGAAGTAGTCTGTTATGATCTCCGGACATAAAAAAAAAAGACAGCGTGTTTGGAATGAAATTTATTTAGAAGTTCGTAACGAACTCTAACAATCCCTTTTTTAAAGGTTGAACAGCGAAATTTTAACTGAAGATCGAAATGAGAATGTCCGGAAGTTTGTAACGACAAAGACAGGGAGGTCATAATGAAAACTACAGAGTGTTCGGAATTATGTTCAGTTTGTTCACCTTTGAGAGAATACGAAGTGACACGCTAGCCTTGCAGCCTAAGATGGTTATTTTACGAACTCCTTGTCAATGTCATTCGATTCTTCCGATCTTTTTCTGTAAAAAGTACCCTTAGACTTACATTCCGAACACCTGACATTGTTCACTGTGATCTCCGGGCGCTACATCAGATATAGCAAGGAGTATTCTGTTCCCAACATCCGGTCAAACCATTCTGATTTCTCTGCTTTTCCATTACGATCTCCCCAACAAAAATGTTTACAAACTATCGTCATAAATCTTTTAAGGACAAAAATTCATTTCCGAACACCCGGATACATGTCCGAAGTTCGGAATGACTTAAGACGAAAACTAAGACACCCGTTATCGATGTAAAGTACTGGCAAGTGTCAGTTCCAATAATTTATGATATGGTTACCCATATCATTGCTAGCGGGTGGGCCAGAAATAATGACACACTTGTGTTCCCTTTTCTTCCGAGTACAATTGAGATTCGAAAATTCCATTCTAAACTCATTCGATAGAGAATTTTTTGTTCTACAAAATCCATTACCTTCTTTCATTACATATTATTTCATTATTTAAAAAATAGTGCAGAGTAGAGACAGATAAAAAGTATAACTGCGATTTCCTATCAAAATTTTGGTGACTTTTCGTTTTCGTGTAACTTTTCGAGAAATAATGTGATAATTGACAGAAGAAGGTAGTATAAAAATGTTCAGTGGCTTGAGCGCTATCAACCAGACTACGCTGCTTATTCATTTAGTCATCCAAATTGTGAAGCTTTCACTGCACAAGTTAATCTGTACTTTCGGATGGCGTGGAATTTTGAAAAAAGCAGGAAAAGGACTATCCAAACAATGCAGTGAAAGTATGCGTTACAAGATTTTACAGAGCAGAAAATTTTCTATCTTCCGGAGTTAGAACGAAGTCCTGGAACCATACGAGGTATAGATAAAAATAGATACATGAATAAACCCATAATTTCAGGATCATTCATTCTTAGTGACAAAATATTAGGAAGAATTTTATTTCTCAATGCGATTTAATTTAATGAAGACGAATTCTTTATGTAAAGTACCTGTGATGAATAGCTAACAGAAGCGTTATTAAATAATCAATTAGATCAAGTAGAAAAATAATTATAACTTGTTCCTTCTATCGCAGTTATTATTCTTACCTGTCTCTACTCTACACTATTTTCTAAAATAATGAAATAATATGTAATGAAAGAAAGTAATGGATTTTTGTAGAGCAGAAAATTCTCTATCAAATGAGTCATCATCATTCGGCTGCGAACAATCTGGGTTTGCAGGTGACAATGATCGAATGAGTTTAGAATGGAATCTTCAAACTTCCATTGTTCTCGGAAGAAAAGAGAACAAAAATGTGTCATTATTTCTGGCCCGCCCGTTAGTTAACAACTACAGCTCTGGACAGAAGATGAACCTCACGCAGAGTTCTCTTTACTCAATAGATTTGAGCGCATCAAACCGTCGTACCAACGTTCCGGAAAGTCACACAGACTAACTAACGGAACTGTATTGTACGACGCGTAGGGCTGTCAGATGGATGATTCACGAAATATAAACATAAGTAATTTGTCAAGATTATTAGATGATTTCATGGTACCGATGTTCGAACACAGTACCATCAAAGTACGTGATGAACAACATAACCAACAAATAATGCTATTTAGTTTTTTTTCTGAAAGAATTGAATTTAAGCGTTCATAAACGTACTTCACGTGCTATTTTCTCTAATTCTTTATGGCGAAATTCACGTGCTTCACGAGTCTGTGCGCGTTGATGTTGAAGACGAAGTTCGGCCTAAATACAAAATAAAAAACAACAACAAATAAAATAGAATAATTTATCAGAAGAAAACGACTGGCACCTCTCGAGCAATGGCATCCAATGCTTGTTCTTCTGCAAATGATCCATCGTGTTTTGTTGGAGTTGTAACATTACTTGACGGATCACGATGACGTCCAGAAGAACTCATCATTACATCAAGTCATTTTACCTAAAATCGATAAAAAAAAAGCAAGATACTAGCTAAATATTCAACTAAATCTAAATTCAACTACTCTGAATAATTAGAACTTAGAATTCTTTTAAATGTTAGAATATAAATCAAACGAAGGTGCAATCAACTACTCTTTAGTATTTCGAATGACTTAGAAGCACAATCGGTGTAATAAAAGTGCGCGTACACTATGAAAGTTAGAAATATGTTCTGTTTTCATATTTATTGACAAAAGCAGTGGTACATGTACATCAGACCAAACGAAGACCTCATTAGAAACACTTCCGCTTCTCCTCTTTTATTTCTTAAACTTCGGAATTCTCCAGCAAAATTACAACTATCAACTAAAATTAGAATATCATACTTGAAAAATATTCGAAATGCAATAAATAACGATAAAGAGAACACGCTGTTGACAAATTAACGAAGCTGTAAATAAGTGGCTTCCTAAAAGGTTAAATTACGTCATAAAATTATTATATATATTTTTCTCTTCGAGAACTGCTGCAACGATGATGCTTGAACCTTGATCTTTTTATTAGTTTTTATAAGCCAATGAACGATCATGGAGACATTTATATATTCTGAGAGTCGCTACGATCCATGAACAGAAGTGCAGTGGTTATGCTAGTGGTCGCCTCTCTTCGTTCTATACATTATCGTTTACATATACATTGTGTTTATCAACTTTTGTGCGCAAAACCTTTACAAGAGAGAATTTTGGTCATATGTGTAGCTTTTAAGGATACATTGCTTTTTTTGACAAAATTTTATTTTTCGAGGTGAACATGTATGGGTGAATCCACGTGAAACATACCACCATTACATCAACTATGAGGGACAACGGCGAGATAGCATGGCTTTTGTAGAGCGTGCGGCGTTGATTTTATTGAGAAAAACCGCTTGTCTGTAGCTGTTGCCGAAAAAAAGTTATTGTCGGTTTACTCTACCAGCAGTTTTGACTGTTCTTAGCTATTTTGACACATCGTGTGAAACTCACACCGGGTCTCATCTCACTCTAAAATTGACGTGGACGACTTTAAATGAAAGAGCACTGCAAATTTAGTATATATGCAAAGAAAAAACAATTTGGCCCAAGTAGGAGTTTTGAGATAAAGGACCTTGAACAACCCAGTCTTTTAGAACACCTTTTTAAGTCATACTTTATCCAAAAACGCTATATCCAACCAAGCGGTTAGAAATTTTTTTGGAGAATGTTTGACTTTAACAGGTTTTCGAGAAAACACGGATATTCAAAATTCTCTATCTCAAAATGGGATCAAAATAGCTGGGAAAAGGCAAAATTCCACTACTTTTGCTGAGAGAGTAAAACGGCAATAACGTTTTTTCGGTAACAGCTACAGACATACGGTTTCTACAGCTCGACGAGCTCTACAAAGTGAGGTTGGTTTTATGCTTTGCACTAAACTGTTCTAAAGTGTGGTATGCCTCAGATTAGGCATGCACTGATTAATAATCGACGTTGGGGTATTGAGGAAAATCGTTCCCACTTGGTTATAGTAAATCTGTCAGAATTGTGGGATGTCTCATTTTGTAGAGAAAGGTTTGTTCTACAAAAGTAAAGTGTTCAAAAGGTTGCATTATTATACATAGAAAAAGTATGATTAATCAAAAACACACCAAAGTCGCAAAAAGATAATCGATCTTCGATTATTTTTTGTGCGTTTTTGAACACTTATATTTCTGTCACAAATAACATTAAAGGTTTCTTAACACTTCACTTTTGTAGAACAAGTCTTTCTCTACAAAATGAGACATCCCGCAATTCTGACAGATTTACTATAACCAAGTGGGAACGATTTTTCCTCAATACCCCAATGTCGATTATTAATCGATGCATGCCTACTTCAGATGGAATTACTCATATATGAATTTTCAAGTTCAATTCTAGACGATTGAAAAGCTCAATCCTTTTTGTTTTCTTTCGTTTTCTTTTGAATCAGTTTCACGAGGAGCCGTAATGTGGTTGGATGCTAATAACCGGGATCTTCAGGAAACCTATAGAAAAACATGTCAGGAAATTTTCGGTAAAAATCCATCGATTTTGTTTTTCGGTGTTGCATTTCTATCTTTACTTTATCACCAGCAGAAGATTAGAGATTGTTTTATAAACAAGCTGTAAAGAAATCAGTGAGAGTCATATATTATCAACTTCTTTACCCACATCAACAAATCAAAAAGTTTTAAAAGTTTATTCGGAAAAAAAATTTCGACATTATTTTGACTTTATTGATCGGTCCCATACAGTAACTTTTTGAAAAAATTTTGAGCAAGACCATGAGAATTTTTTTCCAAAGTATCCCAATCCAGAAGTTATCGCATACCAGATAATCCACCATGAAGAAGACGAATCTGAAATCGTTTTTGACTGAACAAGCTTTTAAAATTTTTTGATCCGGTAATATGTTTCTATACGTTGAAAGAGTATAAGATAAAATTGTACATTTACTACACAATCTACGAATACGTTTCAAGGTTTTCAACAACTTCATTATTTGGTATAGTATCGAAAACAATTTCTGAGAGACTATAGAGGTTTGTTGCTGAGAAATTCGCGTGTTTCAATTTTTCTTCTTGCCTCGAAACACTCGAATAATAGGACGGACTATTTGCATTTCCTAGATCTGGTTCAAAAACTATCGGACATTATTTGTGCATCGATGTGTAGAAAAATGATCGATAGATCATCACATGTAATCGCAAGTATTTCTGATGGAAAACAGCTGAGAAAATCATATAAAGTACGTTGAATATTTCAAGAAGTACCTCGCCGAATGTACTCTACCCATGCTGAGCTTTTTTTAAAATACCGCCGATTCAATAAAATATTGTCGGTATACCGCGTGGTTGACTGACGGTAACTTATTAGACCGCGGTCTAAAAATATACCGTACGGTAACTGTTTTTATCCATTCACCATTGTATTTTGCACTCATGAAGGTATACAAGAAACAGAAAAATTCGAGAAACTTGATTTCTTCTTCAGATTAAACTTTTCTTTTAGATCATATAGAATTCATTAAATCTAATTTCTCTCAATCGGAAGTCTGTCTGCGATTACAACTGCTTAACAATAATAAAAAAGGAAGCTGAAAATTAGTTTCGAGCTCCTGTTTGGTTTTACAAAGGTCTTTGAGGCTTTTATAACGATCTTTCTGAAAAAATGACCTTTTTGCAAATTTCAGCCATTAGAAAAGTGTCCCGCACGTATTTCTACATGTGTTCATTCGATTCGCTATAGTCGATAACCTATGACGAACTATTCTCAGTTTCTTCCTATACTACACCACACGTTGAAGAAAAAAAACTTGATTTCGAAAGTCAAAATTTTTGTGTTTTTCTCAAAAAGAGTTTTTCTATTTTTACCTGTTCGGGCGGCCCAGATTTCTCCGCCATTTTACACGCTAGAAAGCTCAGGAAGATCTTAAGATGAAGCGACGACTTGGCACTACAATGTAGCAAGGCCGGATCTTTTATTTTCAGTTTAATTTTTGAGAAAAATAAAATTTGCTGAAAAGTAAGCCGTAATTTTTCCAACTTTTTTAAAAACAGCTTTCGGAAAAAGTAAATCGAAAAAAATTAAAACTCCGGCCTTGCTACGTTGTAGCGACAAGTCTTGGCTTGTATTTTAAGATCTACTTCAGCTTTCTAGCATGTAAAATGGCGGAGAAATCTGAGCTGCACAGACATCTACTTTTTTACCATTAATTTCAAGATAACTTTGGGAAAACTCAATACTTCGAGCTCAAATTTTGTGTATGATGCATCAAACATAAGGGACATATTCTGTGAAAATTTTATCAAGATCAGATGTGCTGGGACAAAAATAGATTTTTGACAGGAGCCTTAAGCACATGAGTATACATTAAGAGCTAAGGACATTGAGCACAGTGGTTAAGGAAGTCTATAACAAGTGAAAAAAATAGATGCTTTCCTAACTGTAGTCAATCATTCAATGCTCTGTGAAGAGTTACCCATGAATCGCAGTTTTTAAGCTTTAGAAATATCCCTATATGTACGGGTGCTACTTTACTTTTACTAATTATTACATTATCCGGTAAAAATAATAAGAATTTGTTATTACCGGTAAAAAGGTAATAAATCTTGTTGGTTATCACTTTTTTCAAGTAATAAAACTCTTTTATTATTTTACTTATGACTTTTTTTTAGCTAACGTTCACTCGATCGCTTGACATTTTATGTTTTGTTGTCGATGGGAAAAAATGTTTGCGAAATTTGAATTTTATTAATATTTATATATCCGTTGACATACTATAAGCCATGTGTATCAACGATTGCATTTTATGACAATAAAAGGATTCTTTACAAAGGCCTATGTCACTTATTTTATGTATAATCAATATCAAAACGTACGCACACACACACACGCTTTCTGTGTTTATTATGACTTTAGTTTTTTATTGCATTCAACTACAAATGTCAGACCAGGACAATAACAGTGCCTAAAATCTTTAATTAAGATCTTTCATTATTGCTTTTAAAACAATAATTTCGGAAATTTCGAATAACATCATACGTTTTCATGTACGTTGCTATGTGGACAGACAAATAGACAAGTAAACTATTTATTTCATAAGACCCTGACTTTGTTCAAGCAAATTACTTTTCTTCTTATTAGTAATAAATAAAGTAATAAAAGATTATCACATGAAAAAAGTAATAAATACCCTAGTCCACTTTCCCAGATGAAGTCCCCGATGAATCCCTGAAATAACGTGAATTGGCAAGAAATTTGTAGAAAACAGGTAAGATGAGAATTCTTACCACTTTCTTATGAAACTCTTACGTCTTTCTTGTAAGACTCTTATAATGTCCTTATGGAATTGGAACTTTTCTGCGGACTCTTTTTTATGACACCGATAAGAATCTAATAAGATTCCTATCGGTGTCTCATATAACTGAATTGAAGCTGATTCATCGATTGAAAGGGTATCATC